TCCACTATGAACCTTCTATAGGWTAAACCTCTAGTTGGTATTTGCAAGATGGATGGATGTGTGTATGTGTGTGTGTGTATCTGATTCAGTTCCTTTGATTCTTTTCCGTGTAGATTGGATCATTCTAGTCTGGATTATGGGRATGATCTTTCAAGAATTCAAGGAACTATGGATCCAAGGAAAGAGGCGTTACTTCGGGCAGTGGTGGAACGCGGTGACTTTCCTAATGATGGCATTCTTCGTGGGMTCCTACTCACTGAGGCTGATTGCGTACGGCATAACAGGCAACTGGGCTGTTCTAGATCCCATAAAAGGCTTCGGTTTCTCCTCTTGGTACCAGGTCATCTTGCTCTCCAACAGCTTGTTTTCTATTGGAATGGTATTGAGTTTCATTCGTCTTTCAGGCGCTTTTCAAGCTAACGACATACTTGGTCCATTACAGCTTTCTTTGTACCATCTTATCCTGGATGTCTTCAAATTCATGGTGTTTTTTGTCTTGATATTTTTGGCKTTTGGTTTGAGCTTAAGGAAGCTGTACTCCCACTACATCAGTACACAGATGTATATGACCAAACAAAGGAGGGCATTGAACAGTACAAATTCTGAAACAGAGCACAAGTTTTCAGAGTAAGAATTATTATGAATATTCATTCCATTCCCCTCCCCTCCCCTCCCCTACACAGACACCCTAATGAGAATGGCTAATAATAATGGCTAAATGATAATAATTACTGATAGATCAAGCNTCCGCAAATTTTCGAATACGCTCCGAATACGGATACGTGTGGACAGTCGTATCCGCAAATTTTCGAATACGCTCCGAATACGGATACGTGTGGACGGTCGTAGCCGCAAATTTTCGAATACGCTGACGTAAACACGATTTTGCGCATGCTCAATAAGAAAAACTAATCGTTAAAGGGACTAGGCACTAGCGTGCATCAGGGCGGATCAAGGAATTTCCGGATACGTGTGGACAATGAAAACGATTCGAAAACGATTCGAATACGCTGCGTGTGGACGCGAACAGTTTCGTATCCGCAAAAAAAAAATTTGCGAAAAATTTCAGGATACGTGTGGACGGGGCCTAATTGCGTCTTCTCCTGCGCAACCATTACACAATGAAATTATACTCTAGTCAATGACATGTGGTCTGTGAAAACGAAGTATTACACCCAAGGTTCATTTTGCAGCCAGCTTTCTGTCATGAGAAGAAAACATTTTTTTAAAACATAGCATGGCCGTTGAATGTCTATATCTTATGCATGAGCTTTTCACAAGGCTCTCATATGAAACCATCGTGCATTAATAACCGTCATTCATTCCTTCCTTCCTTCCTTCCTTCCTTCCTTCCTTCCTTCCTTCGTTTGTTCCTTTATTCGTTACTCCATTCGTTCATTCGTTCATTCCTTCGTTTGTTCCTTCGTTCGTTACTCCGCTCATTCGTTCCTTTATTATTATTTTTCTTCAGCTAGTTGCCCACCCCTACAGTCAACTGTGTCTCAACATGGTCCTGTACAAGAACATCTACACTATCTTCAGCTTCGAGCCCAACTGGAGAGACAGGAGTCACTTGAGTATTTTGGCCTACACGTTTCGTCACATTCTTTTGATGCCTTTGTTAACCTTGATACATGTGATTGCGCCTTGTACGAGAATTTCCAAAGTCCTGGGGAATCCAATGATCAAGTTTATGAATCATTTTTGGTCGACGTTGTTTTTTGTTGCCTTGCTTATTCTGTCAGCTTTCCAAGACACGTTTGATAAAGAGATAAT